AATTTCTCTATTCCTATAGAAGGTCAGTGTCCTGGTTAAGAGGCTTTGGAATTTCAGGGTCCTTAATGAAAACTCTTAACTTGAGGCTTTAGATATGGGGTTTTGTGTATTTGGTCAGGATTCTTGTATTCTTTGAGCTCCATTTCTTCATCTGTCCAATGATGATAAGAAAACAAACAAGACTATGCTTCCCTGGGTTACTGGGCTAAGTGATAGGATAGTATAAATGCCAAACCCAGGAGCATGTGTTTGGTTGCAGAAGCTGGTTATCTCAGCTGTCAAGGGCAAGAAGGCCATACTGGCTCTTCCAGAAGCAGGGCCACCACAAAGGATCTGAGCTGCAGCCCCACTCTTTTTGCCCATGCCTTTTGCTATGTGCACATATATATTTAACTATTAGTATTTTTTAAATGCATGATTAGAAGTGTTTATGAATTTTATAGATTTTAATGTAAGGAAATAGTTATTCTACAGACATTGCCAAAATAAAATTTGGCAGTCACCAGAGGCAGTTCAGGGTCACTCTGTGGACACCTCCTGGAGTGCCTTACTGTCTTCATCCTCAGTGGTGGACTCCACGGGCGCCGCCTCTGTGTTGAGCTCCCTGGAGAACAATGCAAAGGCAATGAAGCTTTCCCTACCCATCATTTTAGATAGGCATTGTAAGTCATCCTCAACCACTTAACCTGTATCCTTTGTGAAAATCTCATCCTCATTGGAGGACTCGTCATGAAGCTTAGCTGCCACTACTCTCACATGTGAGGCACTGATAGATCTAAGACATATCCCTAAGACAAAGTGGCCAACCAAACCCAGTGACGCCCTCCTGGAAAACAGAAGGGGACTTAAGACTTCTGCTTTCCCCTGCACGAGTCCACCGCAGCACCAAGTCCTTCTCACATTTACCTCCTTTTTCTGTCCTGTTTTGCATCTCACCTGCCAATGTCGGGAAAAGTCCCTTGTGGGAAAACCTATGTGCAAGACAATTAGTGTATGATTCATGTTATTTTTCTCATCTCAAACTGCACACCTCAGGTTTCATTAGGACAAAACCTATACATTGGTCCATAATCACAATGAGCAAGTTCACCTCAGACCTGCAGTCCTGAAAACAGTTGCACAATACTGGGCTGTCAGAACCTCCACCTGTTACCAAGAACCTCACAAGGTCTCTGGAGAGACTTCTGCACCTCTCCCTGCCTGGATTTATACTGTCAGATACACTTGTGCAGTGAACAAACTTCCATAATGAGTGGAAGCATTTCACTCTCTCCAGAGCCTTTCACTTAGTTTTACAGTCAGCCCTCTTTGGGGAAGAATGAGAAGGTGCTTGTTTTCCTAGGTTTATCCTACAGGTCCACACATCAGGCACATACCCAAGTTCAACTGGTAAAGTTGTACAGTTCAGAGATTTTCATACTGAGGACTACACTGATGAGGGAATTGTAAAATCCATTTAAAGGACAATTAATACAAAAGCATAGGATGTCCTTTCTGAGCCATGTGTAGTGGTATACACTTGTAATCCCAGTATTTGGGGAGGCTGAGGAAGGAGGATGGCAAGTTCAAGCCCAGCCTGGGCAATTTAGCAAGACCCTGTCTCTAATTAATTAATTAATTACTTTAAGAAAAAGAAACAGCAGATGTAGCTCACTGCAAAGGCTCTGAGCGCCTTCTGGAACATAAACAGGACAGAAGAAATCAGAACAC